AATGCCATTTAAATGCATTCATTTGCAAGCGCATTCTTCTCTCAAACCGCAGAATTTTCCATCCGACGTAATGAAATCGATCGATTCATTTGTCCTTATTCATTTAATTTACTTCTACCGCTGTTCGCATCCACATACACACACATTTCATAAACCGAACGAGTTCAGTTCAGAGCAGCAAAGACCTAATGTCACCGCATATTGCTTCCCATTCAGTCACACACTGCATCAGCCACACTTATTCGATCGTCGTTGATCAAAGCTCAATTTATTTTAAATATGTTTATTAAACTAACGATTGTTTGCACTCGCTGCTGCTGTTGTTGTTTATGCAATCGAAACGGAATTTCAATCGCAATGCACAATCATTCGTTTCGTTTTTTTATTTTAAATTTTCATTCGAATTGTTGATTCTTTTTTGATGGCATTCTTTGATTTCGATTGCAATAAACAATGCAACGATTCTTTTCCGCTTTAGTCCGAAAAATTGCCGGCTATGATTCATAGGAAAATTACTGCGAAGCGCATATGAGTGCGCGCTAGGGAAAATAACAGTTTGAGAATTGTCTGCCTCAGTGGCTGCCTCATATGCATTGGAACGCAGAATAATCGCCCGATCGCAACGTAGAAAATTAATTGAGAGGAATTCTCCGGAATGGTGCGATCGATCATTAATGCATAGCTAATTACTTTGCATACGTACGTCATATGATCGAAGCAATAATGTGTTAGATTCAACCAGTACAGTAAATACGGCTTTGCATTTCAATTTCAATTATTTTGCATGCCCAAAAGCAAGAGACACTTGATTTTGTTTCATATGTATACGTGGCCCGTGTCATTGATATGACGTTCGAAACGAAAAAGTCACACTGTCTACGAACGTGATTGAGATGAATCAGGTCTGTCAGCCACGATGGCGGTGTACGGATTACATCCATTTTTAGTATAGATACTTTATATCCACTTTGGTAACATTTAAGATGAAAGAAAAAAAATAATTGTAAATTGCAATTAGCCACAAATTCATAACATGGCTTTTTCATTTTCTAATTGCACATTTCACATACAAAATAAAAACCATACAGATTATCGCCATAGCGCTTGCAGCGTTCGGTGATTGACGTTCGTTTAGGAGCAATGTACAAGTCAAACGGCGAAAATCACGTTGTAATCGAAAAAGAAGAGAGAAAAACATGGTATTACGTGCTTGTTTGTCAAATGGCTCATACAAACAGGCCTGCCCCATTGAATGAAATACACTGAATAATATGAGTAATTGATCTTCAAAAACCCCAAATGAATATATCATTTCGTTACATTTCAAATTTGAAAAAAAGGCTGAAACTTCATTGGAAATGTGATCCATGCAATTAAACTGTTTATTAAAAGAATGATGAATAAAAAAAAGTGTCATTCGATTTCATGTAATTCCAAGTGCTTTGTCACTTGTCGGCGAAAAAAAAAATATCTTACGATATTAGTAATTTCCATAGCCGTAATTTTCTTGTTTGTTTCGTCACCTTGGTGATTTTGGAAAAGAAAAAAAATCACAAAGCAGAATTACAAGTGAACGCGCATTTAGTGCATTGCCGAAAGAAACATGAGTTGCATTTACGTTCTATTCTTGAGTCAGCAATTTTCATCGCTGATTAACAACAAAAGGGGCAATCTCTCTTTCGACGTAGTATTTTTCTTCTTTCGTTCCTTTTTCCAAATAGCATTTTATTCAAACGACGAATAAGAAAACAAATGCAATTGAAAATGAACGAATTAAAGAAAAAAAAACAACAACCCACCGACCGGTTTCAAGTAAATCGAATGGCTTCGGTTTGAAAAAAGAAAGGAAAAAAAGCACACAAAACAATGTGCAAATATATTCAAAACAGCGAACGAGCGAAAAATTTGCCGATCGCTTATTAGCTTTGGTTCTCTCTGTTGTGCTGATATGCGTATCGAAATGAAAGATATGTGGGCAAAATGTACAAGCACACACGTGCACTCACACATCGACAACAGTATTCGGTATATACGAATACGGGACATGAAAAATAAATAAATATAAAAAAATATATTATAATGAAAAGAGCAACAACAACAAAGCGCAACAGCAGCAGCATCGGCATACATATGCGCGCCACGAATGGCAAAACACACAACAACACAACAACAACAACAACAACAACAACAACAACAACAACGACGACTACGACAAAGATAAAGTATAGCGATAAACCAATAGAACGAAACGAGACAAACAAACCAAAACACAGCAGCAGAGTTGTTGGAATCAACAGCACACACAACACACATAGCCCGAAACGCGAATTGCGCTCTCGAGATTACCATATATATAAGTGGGTCTGCGATTTATGGCAGACATTCAGTCGCCGACTAAGTATCATAGAGAGAACAACTCAGCATACTACGAAGAGAAACAGAAGAAAAAAATCGCTAAAGATCAATTAAAACAAGCAAATCAATTGAATTTCTTTTTCAAATACGAAATAAGAAACAACAATCTCATAAATCATTTGAACGAGATAAAGCAAAATTGTATAAAATTCTAAGCATCGTCTGCAAATTAATTCAGTTCTTCGTGAGGTATTCAACAAGCCTGTTGAAAAATTATATTTAAAACCGTTTTGTCTTCGCAAGCAAAAAAATTTTCAAGTCTTCCAAGAAGCAAGCCGAAGAGGCAAAGAAAAAACAAACACATTTTATTTGAATTAAAAACGCACAACGTCGCCAAGGCGGAAGACTTTTCGTAAAGTTCATACATTCACGACGCTCAACGAAAAACGACGACTTCAAAATAAAAACGTAAACACACATTCACAACATACACACGGTCCGTGTATCTTTCTTCTGGTTATTATTATTATTATCTGCGACGTAGCGCACACACCACAGCAGCGACGATTGCAGTCACAGCAAGCAGAAAGCGAACGGAACCAACGACTTGCCATTCAATCGCAAAGCGAAGCGCAAGCAAAGAAGACGTGAATCCACTCTGATGTGCAAAAATAGAAAAATACACACTGCAAGCCAAATTCAGTAACAACGTGTTGAAATTGATACATATATTTTTCGTCAAAAATTCAACAGTGAAAGAAGGAAAACTGAAAACTGCGAGAGACTCATACTCAATCTGAAATTATTGTGATTTTTTTTCGTTTAAGTTCAAATCAAATCATCTCAAGAAAATATTTCCGTTTTTTTAAACGAGATAAACTGAAAGCAATTGTGGTTTAAGAAAAAATAATTCTCTAAACAAAGCGAACAACTAAACTGAACAGTATTATCACTACAAGGAAGAAACAGAAGAGAAAAACGTGAAGTTTCAAAAGCAATAAGCACTTGTGATTCTAATCAAAAACTAAAAGAGCAAATAATCGGAACTTTTAAATTGAATAAAATACACGCAATACGAAAAGGAAGAAATAAAGCAAATACAGCGATTTTTCCTATGTATATAAGAAATCATAAAAAAGCAGAACCAGTTATAAAAAGAGAGAATAAACCTGTGTTGTGCAAAGCGAAGTGCGAATCACACAGCTCACGTAAGCCTAAACCAACCGAGAGAAAATCGACAATATAAAAATAAGAATAATATAATTATCATTCTCGTTCGCGACAAGCAGCAACGTAAAACTAGTCAAGGCTATACCAGAAATAAAGATTGCTCACGAATAAAAAAATCTGAGGGAAAGAAAAAAAACAGAGAGACAGACAGTGCATAAATTGAAATTGGGAAGAAAAAAAATAAGCTCGACTTTGAAGTGAACTGTTCAAAAATCATAAAAACGCAAAAGAATTAAAGAAAAGGAGTCACTATCTAATCGTCAGTCACCCAGAGCGCATTACTGATAAGTGTTATCAAGCATTGAGATAACGCAGCGTGAATTAACGAGACAATCGGCCACATAAGCAATAATTTGTTGCTCAAGAGAAATAAATAACACGAGAATATTTAGTTTGCATTTATTGCCGACTACAGAGAAACCAGCAACAACCCATACCGAATGAAGTGCTGCACCAATACCGTTCAAAGCCACACAGCCAACATGATCGATACACTCACATACAATCCACAGCCCGAAAATTGGCTGTACGAAATCCGTCAAAAAGGCCACGACAGCACCTGCTACGTGATGGTCCCGCATGCAAGAGTAGGTGTCATATTTAAAACGCATTTCCGTTTCACATTTTTCGGTTTGTCTCAGTTCAGCAAATTCCGTTCGGCAAAGAGAGCGCGTAGCGAAACGAATGCAAAAGAACCGAAACCAAAATTATGCGGAATTTTTTGTTTACACGTGCCAAAAAACAGATGATCGATATTATGTTTATCCCGTATGTTTTGATATTTTCCAGTGCGCTCATTGGGCGGCCACAGAGATGGAAAACGCAATGCGCAACGCGCATGCTTTTATCCAGAAAGTCTGTGTGTGTGCGGTTGTGAAAATTTGTAAACAAAGTGTGTTGTGCTGTGCTCTGGATAAATACGAGGAAAACAAGTTGTCCGTATTTTTCCATCCCAAGTTTATGCGGCACGTGTCGCAAATTATGCGACTCGCACATTTGATGCGTGTGTAAACAATAGAATTTTCCGAAAAAACAAAACTTCCTGAATTCGGCTTTAGGGATGGATGGATGCGTTGATGCGTAGTACCCTTCCTGAAGCCAAAGCACATTCCTCGCACAAGTCATACTCTTGAAATAAATACACGTGCCACGAGCGCTCATCCGCTCAAGCATTGAGTTCTTCAATAAATTGTTGGCAACCCATTTTCTGTCTATTTATAATCGGATGTACCGATTCGATTGACATTACATTCACATTTTCCGAATGAGACCTACATTTTTGCAAATATCTTTCAATGAACTTAAACATCAATGAGTTTGCCATATTCTGTTCAATTGAATCGATTTAGAAAAAACAATTAAATTAAAAAAAAAATCAAATTACTAATGACATCCATTTTTTCCTTCCATTGCAGGATCTTGTAAAATCGCATTTAATGTTCGCCGTGCGCGAGGAAGTCGAAGTACTCAAGGAGAAAATATCCGAGCTCATGGATCGGATAAATACGCTTGAAGTGGAGAACACAATATTGAAGGCGAATGCATCGCAGGAGACATTAACCAAATTGACAACGGCCGCCCCAACCAAAACCACACATACCGCGACCAACTCAAACCCATCCAACGGACCAATTTCATAAGCCGTGTTCATCAATTCTGCACAAGTCATTCAAAACGCGACAGAGACATTTTTTTAGCAAAAAAAAGAAGAAGAAAGAAGCAAAGCGCCAAATCTGCAACAGACAAAAATGCGCCGTCGTTTTTTAATTTGATTTCTCACCACTTTTGAATCGAAAAAAAGAAATGAGAATAAGAATTAATTTTCTTTCATCGCAAAATGTAAAACACAACATCAATTCGCAATCAATCGAATGCTCGACATACCATTTAGAAAAGAAAAACTGATCACTGCTTTCGATGATCACAAATTGCGAACTGAAGTGATTTTACGTGAGAAAAAAAAAGAAAGAAGCAAAAATCTTCATTTTTGGCTTTTAATCCAAATTTTGCGATAAAACACACATTATGCTTTGTTACTCTTGCGTGTAATTCACTAAGAAAAAAAAACACACAAAGAAATTAACAAATATTTAATTCGCATATCTGCATTGAATGAACAAGCAAACATATTATAATTTTGTGATAATTTCTCCGAAATCAACAACAACCAAAATATACATAAAAAAAAATGAACTGTAATATTTAAAAATGAACACGGCTGGATTTTAGCCAGAGACGTAAAAAGACACAACAACACATAAACACACACAGTTCAGACGTCGGCAGAACGGTGAAGCAGAAGATAGGAAAATCTTTTGTGGTCGCGAAATATTGCTGCGCCACGGTGTAGTCCATAACACACACAAGTCGTTGGATGTGCAGCGAGAACATTGGACGATATGATGATGATGACACATTGAAGTGACACCCCCCCCATTGCTGCCCATCGTAATCGACATACGGAATAAATCACTTCCGAAACAACAAATGATATGCACAACCGTTCAAACATCCACATTTCCATGGTGTTGAGAACGATTTTGTTGCAAATGAAAATGTATGAAAAAAAAATCAACAAAAAATTATGCAAATATTGATGTAAATTACAAACACAAACACATAAAATAATGATGGATTATCAAAAAAAAAAACAATATATTTAATTGAGATTGTATTGTGAAACACCTGATCGACGTGTTAGACTGCAATATAAATGTTGATAGTTTAATTACTACAAATTCGCAATAAGATTCAATAACTTATTATTTTAAATGTATAATGATTATTAAGAGCAAAACTGAAAAAGAAAAAAAAACATGAAAAAACCATAGATCAGATGAAGAAAAAAAAACAAACAATAAATATATATATGAATAAAATGAACAAAATACATCAATTGAACTGTAATACACATTTTATTATTTAAACAAAAAAAACCCTTTTTCTGTTTTCTCTGACGAAAATCTGACACAGTCACACCCACACACACTCAAGAAATATAATTGTAAACGCGTTTTAACATAAAACTATAACAGCAACAATTACAACAATAACAAAAAAACCTAGCACATTCATCAAATATATACATTTTAATATTGAAGTCATTGAGCAGAGAGATCGAAGTTAAGAGAAAACACACATAGCAATTAATTTCTGTTAAAACACCTAATGTAACTGATATAAAAGCAAAATACTATTATATATGAGCAAACAAGAATATTCTTTGTGATCTTAATGCGAAAGAAGTCAAATAAATGGACAGAGATGAAAAAATCAGTCGAAAAAATGAAACATAAATTCAAATGTATTTTTTAAATTTATTTTCTTCTTTCATTTCTTATTTTGGATTTTTTTTTTTGCTGAATTCTTTTGTGCTTCATGGCATGCCAACTAGCGAGCGAATCAACAGCGTTTAATTCAATTAAATTTATGTTTCGTTCATTTCCATTCGATTATTATTTATTTTTTTGTAATGTGTAGTAATTTTGTCGCTTTGCTTTTAATTAACCGGTAAATTTACGTTTCAATTTCAATTCTTAATCGAAAAATGTTTCATTTGATTCCTTTTTTATACTCAGTTATTTAAAATACCACATACACACACAATCAGCTCACGTCAGTTTCCGTAATTTGCAAATAATATGTACAACAAACACACACACGATCGTATGAACACGTCATAACGAAAAATTCGTCGATTTTTTCGAATTAAATTCCTATTAAGCATAAAAATTTGTGTCACGAATGTGCTAAACTCATTTAATGTGTCATTTTTTTCCAAATAAATGATTAAATATGAAATATTATGCAAAGGAAAAATGGGAAAAAAGGAAAATCACACACACCATAGCTTGAAATGATGGTATATTCGACCGGATTCGGCGAATCGAGCAATTGGGAAAATCCGATTGAATTAAACTTGAATTGGTTTGAGTGGCAAGAAATGTTTGGATTAAATGCACCAATTGAAATGCAATTTTCAACAACACCATTTGCGATATTCATACGAAAAAGAGAAAAACAAATTGAACAAGAAACAAATGAAGAATCAGAATGGCTGTGTGATTAAGCGAAGAAGAAAAAAAGAAATATGAAAATAAAATATTATTCTGTAGTAGCAAATATCTATGGATGTTAATGTAATATTTATTGTTTTATACCGTGAATAAAATTCGATGGTTTTGAAATTGAGAAATTTTTATAGGGAAGAAAATATTTGGAAAAAAAGAGATAAGGAATGACAAAAATAACGCGACTACTTTGTTCATTTCGTTTTATTCACGGCAAATAAAAACTATTTTAATTTTTAATATCAACAAAATGGAAAGCATTCACACACACAACAAATTCTGCATGTAATATCTAGCGAATAAGAAAACAAATATGCATTCGATGATGACATGAAAGTATATAAATAAAGAAAATCTACTTAAAAAAATACGTTGAACACGTTTTTCTTTGGCTTCTGAGCCTAATTTCAGTGGTCAAGGTGTTTTTCAGAGCACTCTTTTGATTGGGAAAAAATTAGCGAAGCAAATGGATTGGTCGATATACATGAAGCATTAAAATGAGGTGAGATTCGCATGGATTTGCAGCTGTGTGCATATGGATAATCTGAAAAATGGGCATTTGTTATTTGGTCGGGTCATTTTAAAATCATTTGCATCGAAAAAACCATTTGTGGTCTTGTGATTTGCATATTGAACAGATTTGACTCAAATCACGGCAAATTTGCTGCTTGTTGGTATTGTGCATGTGTCAAATGGGCAAGAGAACAGAATGTTTTGACAGCTGGGTTTGTTTTGCTGAAATGATGGAACGAGTGATTCAGATCGATTTGGAAAAATGAAAAAAATATCAAATTATTCTATTCCAAAATAAAAATCATTGATTTTCAAATGAAAAAATAACAAAACCAGAAAAAAAAAACTTTTTTTTTTCAGCTCAAAACATCAAACTCAGCGTAAACAAACGAAAGCATGATGTATTCAATAACGCCGGAATGTATGCAATCGACTGAGCCATTCAGCCGTTTGATTGAGAGTAAGCAACTTCATGCCAATTGGTTGATTGGGCAACATCGAATGAGAACCATAACAGTAAAGGCTAACGCTGCCAAAGCGCTGTATTGCGAGTGCAGCACACATACACCAAACTGATTCAGTTGTTGTTTACCACCGGCTCGTCAACATTCACAAACGTCAAACATTTTTTTCTCAACTGATTTTGTTCCGTGTTTAGTTGCTACATCTCGTTAAATTTCTAATTGAATTGTGTGATTTAATTCAATTCTGTGTCGTGATTAATCCGTGCCGCGAAGATGAATGGGATTTTGCCGTATAAAATCGAATATTCCGACGGCGATCAAAGTTGCACCAAGTGCCATGGGAAGATACGCACCGATCACATTCAAATTGCAATCATGAAACAGGTATTCAAAAACAAATTCGTTTTAATTTTATCGAAAGCAAATGCAATTTTCATTCGGAAAATTTGCATTTTCTTCGTTGCGTGAACTGAATGTCAACAATTTTCTAAAATTGAACCCGTGCGCATAAAAACGACTTATAAAAACATCGCCGAACGAAGCGAAACACCTATTTGTTACTCGTCCAATTCGAAACAAATTGTACACTGGTATGTTACGCCGACAAATCTATGTTATGTTTTGATCGGCGATTTTTTTTTTGTAATTCGTTTTTATGCTCACGGGCACAATTGTCTTCCGTCTCATTGAACCATAACCTAATTCGTGCATTAACCAACATTTGCTGTGATTGTTTTTTTCGTTTCTTTTCAGTCGGATGAAGATGATTGCTACAATCCAGAGTGGTTTCACTTCAAATGCTTCTTCCAAACTCGGCGACCATCCACTGAAGCCGGCTTCGATGGTTTCGCTCTTTTGCGGTACACCGACCAGTTGGACATTCAAGTTGAATTAGGTGAGGTTGCGAACAAAGTGTTTCTAAACACATTCAAGTTAATTCAATTGTTTTTTCCCCCATTGTTTCGTTGCAGGCGTGGTCGATCGTCGCTGTTTGCAATCGCCTGACGCAAAAGTCCCGGACTTTGGCATCGACTACGCCAAACAAAATCGAGATGCTTGCACCGAATGTGAACAGGGAATACCGAAAGGTGCTGTTCGTATCATGAAGGTTGCATACGATGTCAACCAGAACACAGCATTCGATGGAAAAGCAACTTGGTATCACGTTGAGTGTTTCGCCCGAAAACGATCCGAGCATGGTTGGTTAGAATCGGCCGAAAAACTGCCCGGGTTTCGACGACTCAAAGACGCAGACAAAGAAGCAGTCAAGAGACAATTTCCGTAAGTGGCATTCACTCCAATTCGGTCTTTTCGCATGAACAATTTCTACATTTTTTTCTGAATTCCAAGCAGTGTCGTCATGTCGTTGGAAAAGCAGATCGAAGCTCAAAATGAAGAGTATTTCAAGGTATACGACGGATTGATCCAGCTCTCTAGAGATGAACAAGTCAATCTATTGAAGAAAAACTTACAATTCGTGCCCAACACTGATTATGAGGTGGGTAGAAATCGTGTGATTAAGCAAATTCAACTCGGTTTTGATTTTTTTTTCATTTCTCGTGTAGATTCGTCATCATTTGACGGATATAATCGTTTTTGGTGCATTACATCAATGTGATCAGTGCCGTACATGTAGTTTGGTGTTCAAAAACACAAAATATGTTTGCGCACGTCAAAAAGACTGGGCCAAATGTGGTAACACTGTCGATGAACCACGGCGAATGATGCCTCGTGTGCCACCAGAGATGCTTGCGAAGTATCCATTTTTGAAACCACCTGAATCAGTTCAAGCCAGAGCCGTACATCCTTTCCAATGGACAGACGATGAAGGAAACGATTTGGTTTTTGGGTAGGTTTGAATGTTTATCTCTCAAGTGCTAATTTGGTGTTTTCAAACATCGCAATTTCGTTCAATTTTAGCGTTTACAAACACCCGAAGCTGTTCAATATGACATTTGTTATCGTTGGCAAGTTGTCGAAGACAAAAGAGGCAATTGAAGAGGTCATTTTGAAATTGGGCGGGAAAATCGTTGAAAAAGTTGACAAAAAATTGACCGCCGTTCTATCGAATCGAGACGAAGTGCAAAAAATGGGCACTCTCATGAAACAAGCGAAACGCTATAATATCCAAGTGGTTTCAGAGGAATTTCTCACGGCCATAGACACCACGGAAGACCCGTTTCTGTACATAATCAGCGAAAGTTTGTGTGATTGGGGCGGAGATGTAAGTTTTGTTTCATTTTGAAGAGAATTTACGTGCATTCTGAGCAGGTTTCATTCCAATTGTAATGATTTTTCGGTCTTCGATAATTGATCTAATTTCCTTTCAGCCATATGCTCGAACTGAACAAAATGATGTGAAATCACGCCGGGAGACGGTTTTCTACACAAAATCATTGCCAGAGAAGCTCACATACAAATGGAAAGGTAATTTTTGATCGAATTTCAATGGATTTTGTATTGCCAAGTTGTTCTGAAAATCTCATACTAAAATTAAATCGCTTTTTGTAGATGGAAGTGCAGTTGATCCAGAATGCGGTCTAGCTGATAACGCCCATGTATACTGCGGAGATGCTGGAAATCATAAAGATGTTGAATACTCGGTCGTGCTTGGACTTGTCGACATTGAAAGTAACAAAAATTCATACTACCGCATGCAATTGCTGGAGTCAGATGAAATTAAATTGTAAGGAAATTTGAGCATGCTCATCAGATTTCAAATCCATTGAGTGCTGGCGCAATCTAAACAGAGAATTCTCTACTTTTCTCTTTCTTTAGGTACTGGGTGTTTGAAGCTTGGGGTCGAATTTCGACTTCGATTGGTTCGAAGCGACTGAAGAACTATGGTAGATTGGAAGAAGCTCTGGCGCAATTCAACTCCACATACCAAGAGAAAACTGGCCATTCATTTGGCAAGAAAAAAACCACGAAACTTCCAAATAAATTCTATCACCTCGACATTGAATTTTGCGCAAAGAAGAAGCTACCGAGCACATTCGTTGAAACCAAATTACCAAAAACAGTCTACGAATTGATGCAGATGCTGTTCGATGTGAAGCGATTCGAAGACATGATGTTTGGATTCGATCTTGACTTGAAGCAAATGCCACTCGGCAAAATCAGCAGCAAACAGATTCATTTGGCAATGGAAGTATTGGGCCACATTGCACGGATGATTGAACACAACGACATCCCTAGTAAGCTTCAAGCAGCGTCCAACCGATTCTACACCATGATACCTCACGCATTCAGTGTTAAGCGTCCAGCAATTATAGATTCGCTTGAAATTGTTAACGAAAAGAATGAAATGCTCGAGAGTTTATTGAACATGGAACTAATTTACGGTTTTTTGGATGAAGAATATGGTGAAAAATCGAATCCACTGGACGCCTGTTATCTCAAGCTGAAAAACGAAATTGTACCGGTCGATAAGAATTCACCGGAATACCAAATGCTCTGCGATATAGCTCGGGACACACATTGTCCAACACACCTTGGATACGCATTGGAAGTGCTGGAAGTGTTTAAGCTGAAGCGTGAAGGAGAAGATGAACGCTTCCGAACCGTTGAACATCTCGATCGACATCGGTTGCTTTGGCACGGATCGCGATTGATGAATTTCGTCAGCATTTTAACGAATGGCTTAAAAATCGCACCACCTGAGGCGCCTGTATCGGGCTATATGTTCGGCAAAGGAGTTTATTTCGCGGATATGGTTTCAAAGTCGGCCAACTACTGTTACACAGATCCAAACAACAACATTGGTCTAATGCTTTTGTGCAAGGTAGCTCTGGGCCAACAGCGAAAACTAACACAAGCTAGTGCCGTAGTAGATATTCCAAACGCCAACGAGCAGTCGGTTAAAGCCCTTGGTGCATTTTTTCCATTCAACTGGTCGTCGATCAATGGGGTGAAAATAAACACAGGCGCCATTTGCAGAGGTAATTTAATCGAATTTCCAAATATTCGTGTTTTTCCAATAGTCTGATGATAAATTTATATTTAGGCAACGCACCAACAGCACTTTGGTATAACGAGTATATAGTTTACAATGAGGCACAGGTAAAAGTTGAATATCTATTCAAAATGAAATTTCATTTCAAGCCGTAGCCACAATAAGCGACCAAACTAATCGCGAACTCCGTGTTGTCGATCAAGAGCTTACTCTTATGTTTTTTTTCGTGCAATTTAACGCTAAAATGTTTCGAAAGTTCAAATTTGTTTTCATTTAACTTGTTTTTACGGTTCATTTGTTATGTTGTGATCTCAAGCGAGACATTCACATACAAAAAAAACTCTATCCGTGTAATAATTGGAGACTAAGAAAAATGTGTCGATCTAAAGCATATATAAATAAAGAAAATCTAATTAGAATTAGTCAATTCCCAATAAGAAAACGTGTAAGCCTACTAAAAATGTTCACATTAAAAGAAGGCAATATTAAGCATTAATTGAACATTCGTTGCTTTTTATTGAAATCTATTTCAGAAGCCTGAGTGTTGATGTCAAACGAGTCAGGTCAATTAGAATTTAAATCATTTTATTCATTCAGAAATGCGTTAATTTTTCGGTGTTTGAACCAAATCCAAAATAAAGTACAATTCCAACGAATAACATAAGTACTGGAATACGCCTGAAAATATGCGATCTCAACCAACGTTAAAAACCATCGTTATTGTTACATTGGAAAAGGGATGTTTTGCTATATCACATGAGTCGACCGAATAAAATCGCATTGTTCTCGTATTATTTCCACTTTTGAAATTGTTCTTGATTTTATTCTAAACGCCAAAATGAACCAATCTAACTTCAATACATATATTGTCGAAATGAAGATGTTCAAATGTAAGTATAGAAAGCAAAGCTAGAATATTGTGAATCAGCATTATGTCAGCACTTTGCTTTGTTATCAAATCATGGGCGATTTTATGCTGCGATTTTGAATAATCGATTTTTGAGATGAATTCAAACGTTTTATCGCCTGGTAGGTGCTCGGTGTCTATTGTTCAATTCACGTGCTAATTTCGAATTTTCGTCAAAAGGATAGGAGAAACATTCTAGAAACATTTTGGCTGTGAACACGTGTGACTGTGAGTTCTTTGAATTCATGAATCCACTATTGAGCCAATGGATCGCGGTTTTGTTAAGGGAATAAAAATCAATGAGAACGCATGTCGAGCAAAAGTGATTAAGTCTATCGGAATAACTCTTTCATTTCCAAAAAAAAGGCTTGCCGCTATTTGAAGGCTTCAAATTGAAGTTTTTGTATATTTTTCCCATTTTTCAGACGGTTTGCATGGATTAAAAATTCAATTCGATACCATTAACGGCCAATACATCACCTTTTCGTCGGTCAATATCAACCTTTTTAATTTGGAATGAAGATTTCATTAAAAATCACCTCGATTACATTGTTAATTAAGTGTTTGTTTTGTGAAAAAAAATTCGTGATAGAAAATGCCTCAAGCTAAATCTTCAATTTAAAGCAAACACTGGAAAGTGAATGGTTAAGAAAGGGCCGAAAAAAACCATCAGCCGAAATCGATGAATCGTTCTCACTCAAAACCAATAAGCTACCAATATGAGACGTGTTATCCGACACATAAAATTTCTGCACCTTGTCGTGATGATGTGTTGTATCGTTGTTTGGATGTGTTTTACCGTTGATGACTTCATATAAAAACTCGAAACTATCGTGTTTGTTTTAACAAAGCCAAAGTGATAATTTAGCCAGTACGTGATTGGCGATGAAAATTGGCGAGTCGCCGCCGCTGCTGCGGCAATAATCGTTATCATCGGCATCACGTACGTGCTCAAAGTGGAAATGGCCTTTTTCATTCTGCTCCTTCGGCTAATGTGAGATGGGCGTTCGTTTTTACGATGAATGAACGAGTTGACTGAAGAAATATTCGGGAGATTTTGCGAATAAAACGATTGAGATCATTGCATTTGGCGCTTTGCAAAAAATAAATTAAGTTATGAGCCAATAAATGCATTGATTAATACGAAGGATCATCTTAAAGACGGATTTTTTTGGGAATCATATACACTTTTTTGCAGTTTACATGAGATGGTAATAACAAGAGAGAAAATAAACCACGGTGAGATTGATTAATAAGTAACCGGTTTCATTTAAACTGTTTACCTCAAATTGGGTAAACAATGTTTTTCGTAAACACAACAAGAAACTTAGTTCTGGCACAATAATTCGAATCTCATTTATCGTGATTTAATTTCGGATTCGAGAGTATTTTTCGGTTGTTTCCTTCCTTTTTCAATTTCTCACATTTTGATTGCGTGGCATGGCATACAGAATATCAAAAAATGAAAATTGTCTGCCGTCAAACAATTACGTTTGGTACGAGAGAAACAACTAAAAACATAGCATCTACGCTTATGGAAGTGACGTTTTAAATCAGGAAAAGAGAAGATACATTGGCGCATACACAAACAAATTATCGACAAAAATATTAATTTCGACAAACCAGAACAAATATGAAAAAATAAAGATCAAAATTGAAGCCGCCCACAAAACGTTGTTCGGTTTTGCCTTTCTCCATGGAATCTGGAGCAATTTCATCGGGAAAATGATGTAGAATGTGGATATAGAATAGGAAATGAAAAGAAATGGAATGATGCACAAATAAACGAACGTTTAACGAAAATTACTAGACAATAATGTGTTTAACCGCACAAATTTGGTCCACATCCAACAACAGAAAAAAAATGAAACAAATTATCGAATCGAATGTGTTCGTAGTAGCAAGCGAACTGCTGATTTTTCTTTTCTTTTCTTTTCGAAAACAAAAATAAAAGTACCTCGTCATAGTAGATGAAGAAAAAAAAAATCGAACTTCCTTTGCGACTGTTGTATTTTTCCTCGACTAAGATCGAACAGCAGCAGCAGCAACAGCAAGAGGCAAGGATATCACGCAGCTATTAAACCTTTTTTTTCCTATCCAAAATTAAATGCATGATAAATTCATGTAATAGTCGTGCTAATACGTCGGTTGAGAGTGTGCGCTTTGTAGCTTAGCGCACACGAAACCATCTATATAGAGAAAAAGGAACTGCCTGGCATGCACTCTCTCCAACAAGATTATGTTTCATTTTGATAAAGTCAATTATGCGAAGACTATCAATTGCGGCCTCTTGAGAACCACAAACCATCTTTTTCCTGGCCCTCTTTTTCTCTTGAAGGAAAAAAAATGCGATTCATTTGATCCGCTTGTTACTTTGATCGAGTATGGAAAAAAAAATACGAAAATTGAAAAGGTTTGATATATTAGGTAAGTGGCAGCATTGCGAGTATTGCATATTCGGCATCAATTCTCTTGTTACGCATATTCCTCTTTTTGGCTCAGTTTCGGATGTGTCTGATGTGCACAATAGTCGACAGCGCACGATTTGAAGAAAAAAAACAGGTAGATGATTGGTTATTTAAATACTCTTCAATTTATCGCTTTCTGTGCTTGAATGCGTAATCACGCAAACAATAATCACTTAAGACAAAAACAGACTACATTCGTCCCAAAAACCTATGCAGAAAAAGTGTTTCGATCTAGAAAAAAGAATCATAATTTCAAAACATCAATTTAGCTGTTATTGTGCTGTGAATGTTTGTTATTGTGCACGATACGAGCACAGCGAAACACTTTGAAGCGTGTGTATACACACTTTTGTTCAGTCAGACAGAAAATGAGGCGTTTGAATGTGTGAGTGGTTTGAAACACTGTCGAACCGATAGAAATGTGTTCTTGCTGTGTTTTTTGCTTCATGAAACGCTTGTGTTGTGTCAAAAATATTTATAATGCGTATTCAATACAATGGATGACAGTTTGAATTCATAACCTGAAATCTGTCAGAGTTCGCGCGATTTTTCAATTGAGCAAAAAATCTACTGTGGTGCAAAATAGAATGCATAGAAATCACAACATTTCAAGAACAAAAATATTGTGTTTCAAATCACACGAGGGCAAACTTCTTTTCTACTTCATTGTGTCATTCAAAGAGAAACATAGACACAGAGTCTCTGAAAAGATACAGAATTATGTGTGCAAAATATTATTTTTTTACAGCGATTATTCGTTTACTGTTTCTGAACAGCATGTTTGAATAGAATTTTCTACGCAATTTGACTGCAAAATGGTGTATTTTCAGTATCTATTAGCCAGTCTTCAGATCTCTGGAAAGTGGTGCATTGTGTGAGAATAAAAAATGACACATAATCAAGAGTAACCACAAAAATCGATTTTTTTTGCACTAATCCACCGTACAATGTCCGATTTGTAATGCACTTAATAATAGATCAGTCAAATGTGTTTCAAAGAAAGCGCAATGGGATAAAAACACCACAACGTTTAACGTGGGTTGTGCAGAAAGCGTTTGAAAACGTTTACGTTGCCCTGTAATTTACGAGGTAGCGCCATTAAAGCAATCAATCAGAGGTCATGTGCGTAACTGCGCCTATTTTTATCAACAACATACTGTGTTTGTACCTTGTGCCAAGTGCTTGCCAGGAGGAAAAAAGGCATTTTTCTTTCCCAAAACCGTTTGAAATATATTTATTTTGGCATTGCGTTTTCAGATATGAAAAAAGGTACGAATGGACCAGGCGAAAGAAACGACCACTGACTTTCGCATATATGATTGTGCTTGCACCACATAATTAACAAGTGTGAAAAATAGAGCAAACCTGAACACAATCGGCACAATCAAAAAGAACAAAAGCGATCGTTTCATGCCGAAGAACAAAAAAAAAAAATACCATAAACGTTCTATGGACATATAATAAGTCACGCATCCTTCAAAAACCGACAACAACAACTCAAAGCATAAATCTATCTTGAGAATAGAGTCGATGATGATACAATGCAATGGCATTGTTTGCTGGTGAAATGAACACATTCGCTAAAATGTTTGTTGTGTGTGAGAGAGGGAGAATAAAGGATGAGAACTTTCAACAGGAGTTGTGCAAATTTATGATTTTGAGTGATCGTGTGTTTGATTGATTTATTGTGATTTTTTTGCGCTTCTCCCTGGGCTTCTCCTGTATTTTGCGCATTGTTTGATGCTATCGAAAAAAACATGAAAAATAGGTGCTAACAGCCTTTAATAAGCTATTTGGAAACATAATGTTTAGCAATTATCTATGGCTAGTTTTGTGCTGTTGCTCGCGGCCCAGTTGTTAGGCTCGACCCAATCTCAGAGAAATGGAAATCATGCGAATTTTCAGCGCACACAATACACGGGAGCAAAACAGCAAAGACATCATTTTTCATGGCCTAAATGGAATCACTTTTCTCAGTATTTCACCGCAGGCCAATTTCCAGAAATACGCCAGAAGAAAAAAACGTCAGAATATTCAATAAAAACTTCCTTTGCGGTGTTTAGGTGTAATTTTAGAGCAAAAACAATTGGTTGCCAACAAAGTATACAAACAAAAATTAGCAGCAT